TTATTACGTTTTACGGTTGTGAGCCAAAACATGTTTAGAGATGAAATCAGGGTATGGAAGGTCCCCTCCCCTTGCCCGTATGTGCGGGCTCCCAATGGCAGCTCCCCTCCCATGATGATTGTATCTGTTGCATATTGGGGCTCCGGTATGTCTTTTTAAACCATGCAAATTGAACACAATATTTTTCTTCCCTATTTGGAAGGACTGCATGGAGATAATGACACTCTTATTGGTTACGTCATCAAAATTTATAGGAAACGATTCTACATGGACCCCGAGATAAGCCCAATATTTTAGTGAGTACAAAAGCATTTGTTGACAGTTATACCACTATTAGAATATGTGCAATGTATCAATGATATATCACAGACAGACAGACAGACAGACAGACAGAGAGAGAATCTTGATCTTGCGCTAATTGCATTATGCATAAATTTTATGATTCTATTTCTGAGAAAGTGTACTATTCAAATCTCATGTTCAATTTCATTTCGTTTATGTAATTCATTATATTATATTTTATATTCCTAAGCTCATGCTGTTGGATTTTGTATATTTTCTCTGATCTCTGTTATTCCATCCACTATTTTATTTTTTATTTTGTTGTTTGGTCAATCTCGGCATGAACACAGTGGTCGATCACTTCCTAGATAACGATAGCCAAAGCACCAAAACATGTCACACCTCCCAAACAACATCTAAAATATTTTTCACACTTTTTTCAAATCTGACTTGCTGATATCAATGTTTAATTATTTATTCTAAATTAACAAAAGTTTGTGTACGTCTTTTTAAGTATTGGTACGTGTTTATATGCTTTACATACTTTCAATACGACTGTCCTTAATTTCCAATTCATTTTATGTATAAAAATTTAAAAAGCATACACGTGGAAACAGTGCAATATCATGGCAGAATTTCTTCCCCAAACAAAACCTAGCCCAGTTTCATGATTATATTCACCAATGAATATACAGCAGCTTTAGGGAGAACTACCCTACTGAGTTCAAATTGGTTATGTCACAGTCGAGATATAGATAATAAAATGGTGGTGGGTGGAAGCAGTGTGCAAAAGAACAAATTCATTTGTATTAATATGTTTGACTATTTTCTTTTAATTCGTCCATTCTGGAAAACCATTTGCTGTAAAATAAGAAACCAGTGTCTGAGTGAAAACTGATACCGTCGGTATAGATAAAATGACGATGTGCGTTACATGCGCTGTAGGCTTTATAGATGTTTTAGTATACACCACTCATAAAATTCATATAAATGTAACAAATTTTAGGATCATTCATCGTCATAAAAATTAAAAATGCTTCTGGCAAATTATTAATAAGATAAAGTAAGCTTCCCCCAACAGTGCATACACAAATCAGCTTTTGTAGCTAACGTTTTGAATATTTTTAATTCTTCGGTATACACTGCAGGAACATTCGGCTATTATTAATGAACAAAATATTTGTGCAGTATTTCTATAATAAAAATAATAGAAACATGGCTTTCCTGCAGAGATTCATGAAAGATTCTCACATAATTTTATGCGAAACATTAACATTTTAAATGACAATGAAAATAGGTGTCAGAGGTCATCTCTCGGACCTAATGGAAATATACTCATCACTTAAACAATGTTATTCCACGTCAGATAAACCAATGTTATTCCAGGTCACTTAAAACAACGTTATTCCACGTCACTTAAAACAATGTTATTCCACGTCACTTAAACCAATGTTACTAAACAAAAACTAAAGTTTCATAAGTCTTATCCCTCAAATTTGCTGTCATGAAAACCGTTGTGAGTTAATTTCAAATGTAACCTTTGTTAGTTACTTTGAAATATAATCTTCGTGAGTTCATTTAAATGTAACTTTTGTGAGTTCATTTTAAATGTGACAATTTTTGGTCATTTTAAATGTAACTTGTGTGAGTTCATTTTAAATATAACATTTTGAGCAAGTGCTAAATTACTTGCTACAATTCAGTCGAACTATTGTGTTTTGAGTGGTAGTAGAACTAATGGCATTGACTGTGCAGATAACGGAAAGCGAACTTAAAGGTGCACGTGTACCTTGAATGAATGTATTACGTCATTATAAATGAATGCCCAAATTATTCAAATCGACTGCTCTGTTTTAAAAGATATGACCGATTAATTACAAACAGTTGTTTATATAGTCTAGACAACGTGAGATAGACACAGATGAGATGTCACATAGTCAAAACTATAATTCAGTCAATTATTGTGTTTCAGGTAGTATTAAAACTAATCGCATTGATTTGTCCAGATCACCTAACTGAAAGCGAAGTCAAATTTTATCTTGTGCTTTAAATGAATGTATTAGGTCAATAGAAATACATGCCAACATTATTCAAATTGTCTGCTCTATTTTAAAGATATGACCGATTAATTACAAACATTTGTTTATATAGATTACAAACATTTGTTTATATAGTCTAGACAACGACAGAGAGACACAGATGAGATGTCACCAAGTTAAATCTGGTCAACAATGGTCTACCGATTCTCTATTACATACAAATGTTGGAAAGAAAAGTAGGTAGATTAACATAGATAAATAGTAAATAATACAAATGAATATAAACTATATCGTATATATTACAAATAAATATGAATTATACAGTAAATAGTACAAATCTATATAAACTATATAGTAAACAATACAAAATAATATATACATTATGGTATATAATACAAAAAATATAAACTATATAGTAAATAACACGAAAGAATATGAACTATATAGTAAATAATACAAATATTTTCTGATTACGGTGATACACGATGAAACATTTCACAATGCTGTCCATTTTGTGCAGCCTACTCTGGGTAACAACTGTTTTTTTTTTCTACGCTAATAGAAATATGACGTTATGTAACTCTTCTATCTATATACTGCGAGATTCTGCGGGATATTTCTAAAACATGTACCTTTAATGAAACATCAAATTAAATCCAAGCTATCTCAGAATTTACCCAAATCTACCAAATTCCAATTCTTTTTCAACCAATTTTATAACCAGTCACCTGGAATGATTTAGGAATATAACATTACTTTATTTCCCCACATGTTATGTTCGTCAAGCTTTTGTAACTCCTGGTATAACCCGACTGTTTTGACTTTGGTTCGACCTGTCTTCAAAATTCTGAATATTAAAGAATTTGGACAGTAATTTTCCACAGCCATAAACAAACCGAGTTAAAACAACTAATATGTTACCAAGTTTGACGTGTTAAAATATTTATGACCATACAGTCGTAACACCAAAGTAAAAGTGTACAAATTCTCTACACCGGGAAAAAATAATGAATAGCGGAAAAGAGGGAGCAGCTATCCTTTGAGTGCCATTAACCAAAAGTTTGTAAATACCTAATTTCCTACATAGTTAACATAAAATAAAACCGGTTTGTCACAAACGACTCTTTTTGATTTGATTTTGTCCCGAGAACCACGTAATCAATTCGTTTTAAGAACGATATTTTAAATAAACCAGGGTGCGTCAGCTAAAGTTATAATGGATTTTTAAATTAGCAGTCATAAGGGTGATATAATTAGATTATTCATCCTTAAATTAAAGTATACAAAATGAATCATATAAAATAATAAACGTCACAATTAACAAAGTTGACTAATATAGAAATAGCAATTATATGAATGCTAATTAAAACCTTTTTTTGTTAGTTTATTAATGTTAATGCTTGATGATAGAAAATCGTTATTAAAAGCAAGCTAACGTGATGATTATGGGCAATTCCTCTCTAATATTTTTCCTGTATGCGCGACATTTTCTAATGGGCTGCGCGGCCCAGCCGCGCACCTTAAAAGAAATTTAATTGTGGGAGAGGCATTACCTACGTCACCGTTCAAAATCAAAAGAAATCAGCTCACTATGAATCAATGCAGACTAAACAGTGCTACCCTTCTATCTACACACACACGCACGCACGCACGCACGCACGCACACGCATACATACATACATACATACATACATACATACATACATACATACATACATACATACATACATACATACATACATACATACATACATACATACATACATACATACATACATACATACATACATACATACATACATACATACATACATACAGGGTAGCCTGCGTTGGGCTCTCCCCTATAACACTTTGGTCTCCCTTACTCTTGTGAAAACCAGCTACTCTTGAAGATCTCGTCACCCCTTTGTGGTGGGAACAATTAAGCACCTGATCTCGTTCCTCACGCTAATAAATCTAACCTCCTGACGGACCAGAGTCACGCGAAACTCAAGTCAACCATTCTCCAAAAGCTTTCAAACTGTATTGCAGCAGCTCGCCTAGATATAATCTTTGACCCTACGATCATATATTCCATCACAGGCATATATTCTTTTACCAGTCTACATTTGTTCGCAAATTCCTTTATCTACTATTTAAATCTTACATAAGAATAGATAGAAACGAGCACGCAATCACGAAGGACGTCGCCTATGTTGTTCCGTGTTATATTCGATTACGATACATTTATATCGCCTGTTAGTGACATACAAAGATAAGAAATATTCCTGTATTTTGTGTCAAGTAGCATCTATAGAGCGAAGGATACATTATTATTACAAAATAGAAACAAGTGGTTGTAAATAGAGAAAAGATGTCATTGGCATTAAGAATGTGAAAAATCGTTCTAAGGTTCGGGTGGTCGTTCACCACCCAAATATTGATTTGATGTGATGTGATGTGAAGTTGTTATGATTTTTAATGTAGCTTTAACAATTTTTCAGTCATATCGCTATGACGTCTGCACTGTGGTAGTTTATAGTGATGTCTAGCACTGGGGAATCTTGCCGCAGACATGTAGCATGATGTCATACCTAGTCACATTATCCTGACACCAGACCGACCAGTCAAAACACTAACCTCTTAATGCTGAGCGTCAAGCGAAGCAGTTGTTAGTACCATTTTTGTAAGTCTTTAGTATGACTCGACCGGGTATCGAACTCACGACCTTCCGCATCTGAGGCGGACGCTTTAACCACTAGGCCACCGGAGCGGTTCCAAAAATAATGATTATATCTTACCTTATGTGTAATTTTTTCACGCAACTCTCTCTAAACAAATTACTTTGTAAAGCAGGTTTATAGTTCTTGCTAAAAAAAAAAAAAGAAGCAAAAACTGCACTGACAGTATTACTATTGTATTCTGTTTAATTCTGCAACATAATATGAATGTATTACGCTCTTTGCAGCTACCTTCCTGGATGTTGAAGTCTGGTGAAATTAAAGCTACATTCCACGGTGTTGTTGTTAAACGGTTTAACGCCATTTTTCAGCACAAGATAGGCTATAAATGCGGCCAGTATAACTGGTGGAGGACGGACCCTAAAAAAAAAACCGGGAAGAACCACCGACCCACGAGAAGCTACTGGCAAACTTTCTCACGTACCCACGTTAGTTGAACCTGGCTCGATCCCAGGCAAACAGAGGTAAGATTTCCTCCGGAACGGTGAGCGCTTTAGACCACTCGGCCACTCTGGACCCCATTCCACGGTGTGGAAATCTGTAACCAAATTGGAATTTTCTTCCACGAGTTAAAGTATATGGGCAAATTGGAGCAAACTTTAACGACATTGAAGTCTCCAGACAAACTGGAGCTAACTTCCACGATGTGGAAGTCTATGGGCAAATTGGAGCTAACTTCCACGTTATGGAAGTCTTGCTGCACAATATATAACAAATGATATCAATCAACTTATCACACCCCAATCAATGAACTAATCAATATTGACCGATCACTACTCAATCAATGAACAAATCAATACTGACCTATCAGTACTCAATCAATGAACTAGCCAATATTGACCGATCACTACTAAATAATTGAAGCAGTCACCATTTTCATTCTTTATCAATAAGTATTAGAGTAATCAGATATTTATTCGGCAAACAAACAGACTAACCAACATAAAAGCCAGACTAAAACAGGGGCTCATACTGAAAGGTGCTCAAAACAGCTTGTAGAAGTTGAGGCTCAAACTCAAACTCAAACGATTCAGGCCTTAGATTAACTGGATTATCCCGGGGCACATTGTAAATAAATGTTTTGATGACATGATAGTTCAATATTCTTTTTTTCTGACTGACCTAGCGTTTATTAATTTCTGCTGAAAATAGTTCTTTTCACCATCATCAGTGTTGTGGTCGTCATCGTCGTCGTCGTCGTCGTAGTTGTAGTTGATATTATTATTATTATTATTATTATTATTATTATTATTATTATTATTATTATTATTATTATTATTATTATTGATACAAGATTAATTGAAATAAAAAAATGCCTATTTCAAACCAGATAAGACCAATACAGAGGCTAGTGTACAGTAGCAAAAGAGAAACAAGGGAGGCAATTTTCTTCAAGGGATTTCACCCACACGATGCAAGCGAGAAAATAACGTGAGTGAAAAAGTCCTTTCGCTTTATGATACGATTCTTCATCGAACAGTAGTTCAATTATTCATTCTTTCTTGTTTAATCTTGTCTAAGGCGATTGTAGGGTATCATTTCAATTAGCAAACGACATGAAGATGTAAAACCAAGAGGAGATATCGTTCTTTTACCTCCTGGAACATTTTAGCTGTGTATCGCTTCATCACGGTAATTCTGGAAGAGGTCCAATTTGAACACTCTTTAGAAAGATCCAAGCTTTCCAACTCGATGGCTCTAATTAATTACGTCTTTCTTTTTAACAGTGACTGGCATTGTGTGGAAAGCAAGCCGTTCCTGTACTTTCATGTGGAACAAATGGGCCAGACAAAGGTTGAAGACCCCCAACCTCTCACATACCTATCAAATGATTACTTGAACACATTTAATAGCTGTTAACTAGATCTGCACAAACAGTGAAACATTGTCCGAACTGGTTGTTTAATGGTGTTATTTTGCGTTTGACGATTTACCGCCTTGAAATATTTGTGGCAGAACATTTTTAAAATGCAAAATGTATCTGAGAAAGAATTTATGATCTGAAAGAAAAAATATTCGTCACATAAGCCAAATATTAGTTCCAGTTTTATCTTTCAATATTTCCTATTTTCTTTGCCTTTCTCTCTTTGGTGTATGTAGATGGTTTATTTTCCTTTTTAAAGGTCTGCTTGGTTATGGTCTATGCGTATATGACAAATCGTTCAAAGCATTTTATTTCCATCGATTACTGATGTTATCTATGGCAACTTTCTCTCATACCTAAGTAAAAATTAATCTTAAAACTGTTTTTATTTATTAACTCTAATTAACGAAATGTATACTCTTTCGACTGAACCTATACTTCTAAAAACAATCTTCTACACCTTCTGATGAAGCTACTTCCTTAAATATTGTGCGCCATCCTGTGAAGGAAGCCATGTTTGAAAGCCAAAAATGTCAGTACTTTTCCAGAACAATTTTGCACCTGTTGCTAATTACAGAATTCTCAAAGAGAATCACATAAACTGCCTTTATAAAATTGCATGACATCATGATGTTTGCATTATTATAACAAAACTGAAAAGCTGTGATAATGGGTTCATAGAAAAACAGTTAAGTCAGGGGCATGAAAATATCTACCACAAATAATGCCATTCAGCATGCAGATGTTATGCATTATGGAATGCAATATGTATAGATTTATAATTATGTCCTCTTTAATATACAGCTTTGTGTGGAATTTATAGAGATTGAAGATGTATTTAATCTTTACATATCTTTAAAGAGGAAAGCGTTACTAAAAGTATCAAAGCAATGCAAGATTGTATTCATATTGACATCGACTACGTTTTTCAGATTTAAATTTGACCAGATTTTCCATTCAGACATCGAGTACATTCTTCAGACATAAATTTAACCAGACTTTCCATTTAGATATCGAGTACGTTCTTCCGATTTAAATTTAACCAGACCTTCCATACAGATATCTGTCCGTTCTTCAGACTTAAATTTGTCCACACTTTCCATTCAAACGTCCAGTATGTTCTTCAGACTTAAATTTGACCAGACTTTCCATACAGACATCGGTCCGTTCTTCAGACTTAAATTTGTCCACACTTTCCGTACAGACATCGAGTACGTTCTTCAGACTTAAATTTGACCAAGCTTTCCATTCAAACATCGAGTACGTTCTTCAGACTTAAATGACTTTCCATTCAAACATCGAGTACTTTCCTCATACTTAAATTTGACCATGTTTTCCATGCAGATATCGAGTACGTTCTACACACTTAAATTTAACCAGAATTTCCACACAGATATCGAATATGTTCTTCAGACTTAAATTAGACCAGACTTTCCATACAAGAATTATACGACATCATAGGGACAAGCTCTGACCTTTGTACAGAAATTATGTAACTTCTTAATTTAATTATCTCGATGAAAATAATATTTCTTTCAGACTACATTATCGTGTGTGTATATATGTGGGGGAGGAAATATACAGAAATCTGAGAGAAAATAATTAGATATTTAGGAATTTCGTTCTAGAAAAATGATTGATCTTTATTGTTCTCCAACCATCTAACCATCATTGTCGTGGAAATATTTAATATACCGTAGGATTTACCATTCTCAGAATGATATAAGATGACATACGTTGAATATAACGTTTAAAAGTGACGTCAATTTGGCAGATCTCTCTTTCATTCAATAGTTGCAATCAAGATCACTTGTAGTTGTGATATAAAATTGATTTGTGTGTCACATAGTCAAAGGTTAAGGCTTAATGGAGGAATACAAGTCAGGATTTAAGAGAATGAAAAATTAATGCAAAATTAAACATGTTTCAATTGCCCCCACTCTCTCACGCTCGCTGCAAGCAAAAGTGCGGTAAGTTACAGACTTTAAGCATTGGTTAACATAATTCATTCACAAGAGTTTAGGAATCCTCACAGCTCATACATTTCAGATGTAAAGTGCAGTAGGTGGAGGTTTCTTGAAAAATCAAGGCAACCACTTTTGGGGTGTAAGAATATAGTTTATCTACATTTAAATATATAGCGTACTGCCCGTTATATCCTACCAAGTGACAAATTCCGAACATTGCAAGCCCAAACCTACCGCCGCATTGTATATATTGTAAAACAGATTATTGTCTATGCTTTTTGTTTTACCTAATATATCAAATAGACAGTCTTTGCCTTGATTTACCAACAACTGGACGACATATCTGGGTCTGGTTCTACGCAAGATTTAATGCAAACAGAGATTTCAATTTGATGGACTTGACCTTGATCTTGTGGCCTTGACTTAAATCTGATGGCGCCGTGCTGCAAGGCATGTCAGGACCTGCACTGCTTGTTTTATTTGAGAACTTGAACGACAGCCTTGACCTTAATCTGATGGCTCTTTATTGAGTGGCAGGTCAGGGTATGTGCTGTTTGTTTCAATTAACTCAGGCGAATAGCTTTGATCTGCTTATGCCTGTGCATTATGGGACGGCAGATCTAGGTCAACACTGTTAAGTTTCGTTTCATTTCTAAGACACTGTATAAAGAACAATATTTTCAAGTATTGTGGATGTGACAGAAAATTAAACTGTAACTAATATTCCACAACTATGAGACGAAATTCCGTAAATTCTATCATAAAAAGCTCATTTTTCGTTTAGCGTTTGAATATTTACCACCCTTAGAGGAAATTGTCCTTAGAGAGTGACGTGTGCAGCTGTGATTATGCAAACATAAATAATACCATGTTATATAAGAAGAAATAAAAACGTTCATGTGGCCTAGTGGTTAGAGCATCCGTCTCGGATGCGGGAGGTTGTGGTTTAGTATCCCCGCCCGAGTCTTATAAAAAGGTACTAACAGTTGCCTCGCTTGAGGCTCAGCTTTAAGAAGTTAATGTTAGGACTGGTCGGCCTGGTGTCAGGATAAAATGATTTGGTGAGACATCATGCTACATGTCTGCGGCATTGTGCTCCAGTGCTAGACAACGCTATACAATACTACACTACAGACATCGTATCGATATGGCTGAAAAATTGTTATAGCTACGTTAAAAATTCGAAATCCAAGAAGAAGAA